TTTGTGACAATGGAATATTGAGGTTCCCCATTACAATTGCATTATTGCTTGTTTGATTTTTCATGTCTATTTATATTTGTCTTAAATAATTGGGTGCTTCCCTATTTGGTGTATATGTATTTATCAAAACCAGAGAAAGAATAAACTATAAAAGGGACCTATAGGCCCTTTTATAATAGGGCCTAACATAGATATAATAGGATGTTATGTTAATAACATCTATGTTAATGAACATAGATGTAAAAATCCTCAATAAAATACTATCAAACAATGCATCAAGAAGATTATACACCAACGCCAATGGGGATTCATCCCAGGAATGCAGGGATGGTTCAACATACACAAATATGTAATACTCTATAACAACAGACCCAAAGACAAAAATCACATGATCATTTCAATAGGTTCAGAAAAAGGCTTTGATAAAGTCCAACACTCATTCATGATAAAAGCTCTAGAGAAAATCATAACAGATGGTCTTTACTTCAATCTGATAAAAAGCCAACAGTCAACATTATACTAAATGGACAAAAACTGGAAGCTTTCACTTGAAAATCAATAACAAGACAAGGATTCCACTAGCACCACTCTGATTTAGTATAGTTCTAGGAACATTAGCCAGAACAATTAGACAAAACAGAATAATAAACCCAGGCCATGGTAGTGCACACCTGTAATCCTAGCACTCGGGAGGCCGAGGCAGGAGGATCTAGGCAGGAGGATTGCTGCAAGTTCAAGACCAGCCTGGGCTACAAATGAGCTAAAAGCCAGTCTGAACTACCCAGTAAGACCCTGTCTCAAAAAGACAAAAAGAAAAGAGAGAAAATAAAAGGAATAAGGATAGAAAAGGAAGAAGTTAAATTATCATTAGTCACAGATGACATGATATTTTACATAGAAGACCCCAAAAGCTCCATCAAAAGACTTCTAGATTTAATAAGCAAATTCAGTAGAATAGGTAGATACAAATTCAACACTTAAAAATCAATAGCATTTTTAAAATCAACAGCATTCCTGAACAAAAACAATAAATTCACTGAGAGAAAAATTAGGGAAACCACATCCTTCACAAACCCAAAATAATGAAATATTTAGGAATCACTCTAACAAAGAGAGTAAAAGATATATACATTGAAAATTACAGTACTCTGAAAAAGGAGATTGAAGAGGATATCAGAAAATGGAAAGATATCCCTTGATCATGGATAGGAAGAACCAACATTGTAAAAATGGCCCTACTCCCAAAACTGTTATACAGATTTAATGCCATTAACATACCTCACATAGTTCATATGCCATTAACCATTAACATATCTCACAGATGGAGAGAAAATATTCCCAAAATTCATTTGGAAACAGAATAGACTTAGAATAGCAACAACAAAGGGAAGGCAGGACCCACAAAAGGTCCATTTTCCTCCAGGTTCTATTTTCTTTCCTTCTTACAGTTTCCCTGCGTGGCTTCATCTACTTCCAAGGGTTCAGCCACTCCCTGTATAAGCCAGTGATTCTCAGGCCTGTGCCTATTAGATTAGTCCTTCCTCTGCATGTGAGAGTGTTTATCCAAAGCTCATGCAACATCTTCCCTTGGAGGTCCCTCTGAGACACTGAAAACTCAGCATGTGGGTTTAGGGTTGTTCCCCAAACCACATCATATTGTGAATAGTTGAAGACACAAGAGGTGTCTGATCAAGAATGGTGACTCGTGGGTTGTGGTGGTAAGCCAAGCCAATGAGGAACGAACTGGACAGATTCTCCATGTACCCTAACAGTCAAATGAGGGTCAAGAAATTGAAAAAGACAAAGTTCAGCTAAACCTGACAGCCAGACAGGGAAGGACTCCTGAGTCTAGAGCATCCTACTTACAGCTAGCTCTATGCTTTACAGCGCAATGTGCCCCAACACTGTGACAGCTCCATCCCTGCCCATTTCTCAGGTAGGCCTTCCATAATATGGGATAATACTTACATTGTCTTGTTTATATGACTCCTGCAAACTCTGCCTGCTTTCCCCTGTTTAAATCTTACTATGAACAGATTTCATTCACTTTCATCTGGTTTTCCCACATCTGGATTTGCCAACTCTATGCCTTCAAATTGATGATTTGACTGGATTCTTTAACTAAGTACCACTCTTGGACCTGGTCTCTACATTTGAGACCTCCCTAGAGTCTAAAGTTCCCTCCAGGACTCTTCTGGGTACCTGGGAGTCTAGAATTCCCCATCACAACCTCACTGAGCCGACTTCCTGGACAGGCCTCAGCCCTGGACCTGGAGGGAAAGCCTTGCTGCCCATGAATGGAATCTTAGGGCTGGGGGTTGGGGTTAAGAACAGCACACAAGACTCCCTAAAAGGCAGGATGGAGCCAGGAAGAGAAGGGACAGGCTGGGATCTGGGCTCTTTCATTTGTACTCTTGCCCTGCACTTTGCAAATCCTAGATATTCCAGGAATAAAAATGAATGAGGTCTAGCTCCTGGCCTCAAGCAACTTCAGAGTTACAAGCAAACCAGGGATCAAGATATTCCTTGAACTAAAGATTCTTTCTTCCATCTTAAGCCTGGAGCCTGGAGCCAAGCTTTGGTATGCTATTCTCTGAGTGACCTGCACTTCCCCCTTGTAAGAGGCAACTGCAGTTCAAACAGTTCCTTTCTCCTGGGCCATAGTGGTACATGCCTATAATTCTACCACTTAGGAGGCTGAGGCAGGAGGATAACTGAGTTTGAGGCCAGCCTAGGCTACATAGTGAATCCAAGGCCAACCTGAACCACAAAAAGTTCCTTTCTCAAAATTTTCCCCAGCTCAATTTTATCCGCATCTCAGAAGACAAGGTGAGAGTAAGAGAGTACTATCTCACCCATCTGTACCTCAGTTTTCTCATCTGTCAAGTAGAAATCATAACTACGCTTCATACCACACAAAGCTCACTTTAAATATAAATTTAGAATCAACCAACTGATTGCCCAACATCCAAAGCTATTCTAAGCTGTGGCCTATGGCAAGGAAATACAAGAACTAATTTGGGGAGAGTGACACTGATACTCTGGGCTGTATATTGTACACTAACTATGCCAAATTTTAAAGTCAAGCTAGCTACCCAAGCTACTCAGCATGCCTCAACATTCCCTAATTGATACCAATTGGTATATATGCATGAAATCAAACAAAATTTAATATTAGTTCAAGGAGAATATAATCTAAGATAGAGATCTGTTAACAAGGGCTAACAAGTTGTGAGAAAACAGGCACACTTCCCTTCTGCTGATGGGAATGCAAAGTGATACAGACCTTGTAAAAGGCATTTCAACAAAATCTACCAAAACTACACCCAGTTACCTTTTGACCTCCCAGACCCACTTCTGGGAATTTATTCCACAGATAACACCTGCATTCCTACCAGATGACATTTTTACAAGGTTATGGCAGCAGCACTGTTTGCAACAAAGATTAGAACTAACCCAAAGGTCTTTACATAGAGGCTAGTTAAATACACAAGCATACATCTTATAACAATACTTTAAAACAGAATAAGGAAGATTGCTATGCATCGATGTGGAAAGACCACCTTGATATGTTATTTGAGTAATAGATGGCTTGAAATAAGAATGTATTTTAATCTTTTTACATTTGGTTAAGTTTCGCAAAGAAGCATTGAAAGGGTTATAGGAATTTGTTGACAGAAGTGAGAAGAAAGCTTTTCCACCTATACCTTTTAATATTGTTCCATCTTTAAATCGTGTGACTATTTTAACTTTGTAAAAAAAATCTGTCTATAATACATTCTAGAAAGGCATAGGCTGGACTGGTTGGCAGAAGATCTGATTTGATCCTGGTTTAGCTGCTGCTGCCCATAATTTCCTTCTCTAGAAGACAGGAGGGTGTGACCCTGTCTGCTCTCAGTTCCTTTCAGCCCTTCTCTTCCATAAATAAGATGTTTTCTGGACTGTGCCCTGTTTTTATATCTTTGCTACTTTCTTTGCCTTTTCCTGTATATAGACAAATGCAAGTTAACTGAACCAATAACTGGAGAATTTCCAACAATGTACAATCCTACTTCCCACTCTTGGACTATTTATTATTTGTCCATGATCATGTGTTTCTCTCTTAAGCTTACTTTAGAGGCTTTTAAATTTGTACTTTAATTTGGGTTAACTCTTTTAGAAGGCAGTCTGATCATATAAAAGGCATTTCACAAGAGGTTAGCAGAACATTTAAGCCGGGTGTGGTGGCTCACGCCTGTAATCCCAGCACTCAAGAGGCTGAGGTGGGAGGATCCTCGCGAGCCCTGAGACCAACCTGGGCTACAAAGTGAGCTCAAGGCCAATCTAAACTGTATAGCAAGACCCCGTCTCAAAAAAGACCAAAAAAAAAAAAAAAAAGTTTAGCAGAACACTCTATTTCTTGAGTAATTACCTTCTACATGTCAAAGTCCAGTTCTGTTTGATTCCCTCATTTGAAATTACTTCGTTAAGGCTAGTGGAGATGAAGGAGCAAAAATAATAGAAAGCCATAGATACATCCACAGATGATGATATGAGCTGATTGCTCTGCAGTGTGTAGGGAAAGAAATGAAAAACTAGGGACTAAAGAGGAACCAGATAGATTAGTGAACTGCAGTGGGGCCTTTTCAGGGCCCTGTGCAGGACAGAAGCTCTGCTGAGCTCTGAATGTGGGCGAAGGAGAGACTCTGTGTGAGACAGGAGACAGGGTGTGGGCTGAGGACTGAAGGATGATGAGGAACTCTGCACATGTACAGTACCAGCTCAACCATTGTGTCAGCTCTCAGCTACCAAGGAGACAGCTAGACTGTCACTTCTGGCTAAGCCCTGACACTGGGGGTGAACAGTGCTGGTGTACTGACCCCCCTGAGATGCTTGGAGATCCCTGCAAAAGAATTTTTATTCTTAATTTAAAATAAGATTATTTTAAATTTATTCAGCACTAAAAAAGATATGAGCTGTCAAGTCATGAAAAGATATGGAAAAAATATGGTGATACACACCTGTAATCCCAGCATTCAGGAAGCTGAGGCAAAAGGATGGCCCATGAGTTCAAGGCCAGCATGGACTATATACCGAGACCCTGCCTGAAAAAACAAACAAGCAAAAGACATTATTCTGTATGGTATTCTACATGTCATTATACATTTGCCAAAATCCACAGAGTATATAACACCAAAAGTCAAACCTAAACTGTAGACTTTGGGTAATAGTGATACATGCCAATGTAGCTTCATCAATTGTAATAAATGCACAACTCTGGTAGGGAATTCTGATAATGGAGGAAGCTAGGCATGTGTAGGGTTGAATGAATTCTCTGTCCCTTCCTCTTATTTGGCTGATGTTGTGGATTGATAATTGGTTCTCAACTCAAACACCAGCGGACCAAATCAATGTGGTGCCAAGCACAGATGGCCCAACTGAGGACTGTTGTCGGCGTAAAAAGGAGGCCTGTAGAGGAAGAGTATCATTGTGGTTCTCCTAAGTGTTGTTGCTGTTGTTTGGAGCCATTGGTTCTCCTGGAGGAGATTATTATGATGTCTCCCGTGGTATGAACTTGGCTGTTATCATCAGAGGAACTCGGGACCCTGTTGCTGAGAATGGCTGCAATTGGGGGAACACTAGTCCTTATTTTGAGCATTGCTTCCTGGTTCTGGAGAAACCTGCTATTCAGTCTCCTGGAGAAGCTTGTCATGCTGGCTTCCTGATATGAACTTGATTGTTCTATCCCCAGAGGAGCTTGGGATCTCATTGTCACTTAGGATGACTGTGGTACTTTTCAGGGGAGCCCTGGTCCTTATTTTGAGCATCGCTTCTTGGCTCCACTGTAGAACCTTCAACCTACTGGCACAGATCCTTCACCCCACTGACCTTTGAGTCTTCCCAGCACAGATCCATCAAATAGACTTGCATGAGTCATTGTGGGCTCTAGGTTTTCAACTGAACTCATGCAGGTTATTGCCATGGGATCCAGGATCTTGGCTAGATTTGCTAGGTCTTTAGTGTTGTACACAGATTTCCTTAACTTTCTTTGTATTTGACTTCGTGTGTGGCCACTATAAATAGTAATATAAATTATGTGTCCTGTATATAATTGTTCTCCTGGCAAACCCTGACTACAACAGCTGTGAACCTTAATCTACTAAAAATAATAAGTCTATTTTATAAATAAATTCAAATTACCCTCACTCAAGCATAACTCTTTTCTTCATATTTATTTCTGGTTACTGATTATGAGAATTTACTTTTCTAAAAGTGGAATAAATGTGTAGATAAACTTCTATTGCTTTTATACAGCATTGCTTTAATAAACCTGTAGCCTCAAAGTCTACATAGTGCATTTTCTTAGTGACTTAGTAATGTTCCATTGCACTTTACCCATTTTCCTATTATGTTGAGGTTTCTTGTGTACATTTAGCTTTCCTGTCCTTAGGCAATTTTTTTAACAAATTGTCAGAGAAAGGCATGGTGATACTCACCTATAAACCTAACTGCTGGTCCACCCTTGGCAATTTACAGAGACCGTGTCTCAAAATAAAGTTTAAAAAGATTGAAGAGGAAGCTCACACTCACCTAAAATGTGTGAGGTCTCAAGTTCAATCTCCAGCACTGCTGATAAAATGAACCAAAATAAAATAAAATATTGTCTCAAGGGGCGTAACTAGACTAAAAGACATGAACATTTTGGATGTTTTTGTTACTTTATATTTTTCTTCTCAACTTTATCCTATCTTTAGCCATAGAGTTTATCAATACAAGTATACCCTTTTCATATACCCTTTTCAGCCATTCATTATTTGAGATCAAGATTTTGTTTTCTTACTTACTTGAATACATTTTTAATCTTCAGATTTAAATTTCTATAATCATTTTTTCTTTAAAAAGTAATATCACACTGATTCCCACAATCTACTATAGTCTTAAATTTTTTTGAAATTTTCTATTATTATCAGTCTTTTATGTTTTTTTCTGTAGCCTCATTTCCTCCAAAGTTATTCTTTCATGATAGCAATGAATAATCTTCCCAATTTTTCCATGATGTGATTTGGATGTCAATAAGTGAAGTTTTCTGTAAGGTGTATCTCCAAGAAGGAGGAGAAGCTACTCCTGATTGATTATATTTATCTTGTAATATATACAGTTCCTCCCCAGGGGAGTCAATTGGGCGATATTAATTATCCAGTGGGAGTAGTCATTTATAAGTTAACTAATCAACTTACACATTGCTCTACAAGACTAGGCTTCTATTTGTCCAAATACGAGCTGATGTAATTTCCACATAGCCTGTAACAATGTCTTCCTTCCTTCCATTTGGCAGATGTTCCATAATTATTTGTTAATTTCACCTGATTTGACTCTAAAATAAACTAATATTTAAAAAAATAAACCAGAAGTTGAAGTACTGTTTTCAACTATCTGGACATAATCCCCACCAGTCAACTCTTCCCTTCACATTGTTGGTGGCAGAAAGGAAACATTGGCAAATCTGGGGGTGGGCGTAGCTAATGAATACGGCCTGATATGGACCAAACAGACTTAGCTTCTAATTCTTTTTCTGCTGCTTCCTAGTTGGAGGCCTTGAGCAATCTAAGTTCTTGTTTTCTCCTCTTGTAAAAAAAAGTGCCCAAAAAGATCTCTGGCATGGTTAAAATAAAAGTGAGATATAACACAAAGCATCTACCACAGTGCCTGGCCCCAAGAAAGTGCTCGATGATGCCTCATAACAATTACCATCTTAATTCCATTGTCCTAGAAAAGCTAAGTGCATCAAAAACTGTTGAGAGGTTGGAGGATGTGCACACCTATAGGAAAGCATAAATATCAAGAAGGAAATGTAAAATGCATGGGAGAATCAAACTGTTTGTGACTTGTATCTAGATGTCTCCCCAAAGCCTCATGTGGTCCTAAGTGGGCTCTTTGGAGATGGGGCTGACCCTAGAGCATGTGATGCTGAGATCAAGCATGTGATACTGGGATTAACTCATGGTGCAATGCTAGGATTAAGGGTGCAGGAAGCCTGTTAAAATATAGGAGATAGAAAGGGGGCTGCTGCTTGCTGCTTTGTTGCCTTCTGCCTGCCATGGACTGTTTCTCCTCTGCAATGCCCTTCTCCCATGCCATCCTGCCTTGGAGCCAGCCAACTGTAAACGGAAGCCTCTACAAACTGTGAGCCAAACATACCTTTCCTCCTTTAACTTTGGTGTCAGGTATTCTGTCTAAGCAATGAGAAAAAGTAACTAACATAAACACACACATACACACACACACACACACACACACCACATGCACAGCAGTTCAAGACCCAATTGTCTTTGCTGAATATGTTTCACCATATTTACATAAAGATCATGTCCAAGTTATCTAAATTCTATTTATCTGAGTTTATCAGAGATTATCTGTTTAGTTATCAATCTCTAAAAGGCTGAAAGCATCTTAATTCATTCTAATAGCACTCTCATTTCTGACATTTTTTTTTCTTTTTCTTTACTTTCATTTTCTTTTCTTTTCTTTTCTTTTCTTTTGAGACAGGACCTCATTAAGCAGTTCAGGCTAGTCTTGAGCTCACTTTGTAGCCCAGGTTGGTCTCAAACTTGCAACAATCTTCTTGCCTCAGCCTCTCAAGAGCTGGGATTACAGGTGTGTACCACCATGCCTGGCTGAGAATTTCTCTTAAAGTATACACTCATGAAATAATGTACTTGTAAGGTTACTCCTGCAGCAGAAGACTGGAACTCTCTTCCACTCTCTATCACTAGGAAACTAGTTAAATAAACTATGACACAACCACACAAAGGAACACCGTGTTACTATAAAATACACTCTGTGTGTTTTGTAAAAAAATAAATGAGGAAATGCTCTATGAATTGATAGGAGACAATTTCCTGGATTATGATTAAGTAAAAAGAGCAGGTGTTGCATGGGTTATAAAGCATGCTACCTATTCTATGAGACTTTCAAGAGCAGCAACTTCCCAGATTGCAAAATCAAAAACACAGGATTCAACCCACGAAACCAAGGCAGTTTCTGTAGCAGGTCATTATCAGGCTAAAGGAGAAAAACTATATGAATTCTAGGAAGTTATTTAAGGTGATAAGTTCATCCTGATTCTCTCAAAAGAAAAGTTTAGAACCCCATTAGTATCATAAATAATACAAAGAAACTCCTTAACAATATAAACTTATGAGAAACCAACAGGAAGTATGAGATATAGGATGGAATACTAAAGACACCACTATAAATCAGAATGAGTTCCATCTAGGCTGGTTCTGGAAGTTCTAGCCAGCACATCAAAATAAGAAAAAGAGGAAGCTATTATTTTCGAGGACTTGCTAAAATAAGAAATTATCAGAATAGAATCTAATGCGGCGACCAAAGATAAGAATGTAGAATTATATTATTGTAGAATTGAACCGAAAAATTACAAAACAGTTTTACACTGTGATTTCATTTAAAAATTATATTTATTTGTGTTGAATATATACATAGAGAAAAGCTGCGAAGGAAATTAATTAAAATATATTTAAAGGGCCGGGGGTTTAGCTCAGCAGGCTAAGTGCCTGCTTGGCAAACACGAGATCATGAGTTCAATCCCCAGTACAAAAAAAAATCCTCTCTCTCTCTCTCTCTCTCTCTCTTTCTCTCTCTCTCTCTCTCTCTCTCTCTCTCTCTCTCTCTCACTCTCTCTCTCTCTCTCTCTCTCTTGCACATCTGATATATTGAGTTATTGTTCTATACTGTTCAGTATTTCATGAATCCTTTTATTTTTCTTGAGACAGAGACTTGCTATGTAGTTTGAGTGGATTATGGACTCACTAAGCAGCCCAGGCTGTCCTCAAATTTGCAGCAATTCTCCTGCCTCAGCCTCTGGAGTGCTAGGATTACAGATGTGTGCGACCCTTCCACCTTCCTGAATGCTTTATTATGAGTACACTTATATAACAATTTAAAAAACCACTAAATCTCTTTTGTCCACAAATGGGTTGCATACATGCAAAAGCTATTTCAAGGGTTATTGGGATAAGAAGCATTTCCCCTAAAGCACTAATGTTTGTGACCTCAGGCCATTTTCCAACTCATCCCCATCTACA